ATATTTATTTAATAATTTTACCATGTGTGAGGTGCTTCTGCTGACACAATTCTACATGTTTTAAGAGATTACATTGCAGCGAGATCTTTGACGCAAGTTGGTTATTTCGGATAATCATAATTTCTATGCTTCAGATTTGAACCAATGGATGCACATGAACCTTGCAATTGACTCATGCATGCCCGACATTAAAGTGTCATGGAAACTATTATTCTCTTCGATCATATGACAGCTTCGGAAGTGCAAAAATGGATTCATGTTTTCATATACATGTTGGTCCCTAGAAGACTTGTTACAGTGCAACGCAGCTTGGGAAAAGTATTTTGTCGAGTCCTCTCGGGCTTAAGTTCCCTTGATGATCATGGATTGTGTGTTGCGGAAAAAGACATCAAATAATTGGTATGGTCTGAACATAGATGGTGTTGTTGACGCAACGAATGGCATGGATTCCATAGGAGGTGTTGTTCGCGTCAATAATGAAGCTTGGATCATTGGTTTCTACCAATGCATTGGCGTGATTTCTGTTCTTCAAGTTGAATTGTGGGACATGTATCATGGTCTATAAGTTGCATGGTCTCTAGATTTTGAATTTCTACAGGTGCAAATAGACAATTCTCAAGATGAGCAACTGATGCTCGACCCACATGTGGACATGAGCATATTCTCTATGGTTCGTGCAATTGCAAAGCTGGAAAGTGATACTGGTACACTGGTAATTTGGGTCAAACGTGAAGGTAACATGATGACAAATGATCGCGCTAACATTTAATGGTTTATCGACTGAAAGGTTACGGGTCTCTCTTAATGTACAAAATCCCTTGTTTAGTTCTTAATTTTTGATCTCTTTCAATTAAAAAAATTACTTGTTATAAATATTTTATAAGATATCATTCCAATTAGAAAAGAAATAAAATATATTTCTTTCGAATTATAATAAATAAAGAATATTTATCTTTTCAAAAATTAAAAATCATTATATTTCAAACATTTGAACATTAGATTAATAAATATAAATATTTTTTACATATAATTATTTATAAATATAAATATTTGTATGTTATTATAGAATAAATATAAATTCGTCAAAAGATGCTCCACTGTCGTTTTGAATCTTGACTGTGGAAAGTGGATGAGATATGGTATTGGGCTCTTCGGATTCCTCGCAATTGGATGCATCAAAAACACCAAATTTTCATTACCCCACAGAGGTTATGCTCTCTTTATTTTCCTATGACACCAATCCAAAAGAAAAGATATCAAAATCAATTGACTTTTGACCTTTACAAACCAATCATGTTTCGCCAACTTCAAAAATTCCAGACCCACACGTCACGGAGGCTAAAATCGTCATTTCCTTTGAACCGCGCAAAGCTCCATGGCCGCTTCCTATCGACCGCCTCCAGCGTCAGCGCTCGATCTCGACCTCACCGCCGTCTCCGCCAAGCATCTAAAAAACGTCAACTGGCGAAAACGGCGATCTCAAACCCTACGTTGTCTTTTGGGTCGATCCACACCGCCGTCTGTCTACCCGCTCGGATGATTCCGGATCAACCCGACCGGTATGGAACGAGCGGTTCACCCTTCCCCTTAAAAATCTGCCGATACCTGCGGACTATCAAAAGCCAGAGGCGATAGTTCAGGGTAAAGCTGCTACTGTATCTGATATAAATCTGCCGATGCTATTATCTGATGCAACACACCCTTCCTGAGAATGCAAATGAATATTATAAAAGGCAGCAGTTGGGACTTGGGACAAAAATAAATATATTGCAGCTAATTTACGTACCACAACATCATCAACATATCTGTAGATATCATCTATTAAAGCCAAAAACAACTACAAAGTAACCAACAATAAACATTCCTATTCTTAGACATTTGTTTATGCACACAAACAGAGAGAGAGAGAGAGAGTAGATAGAATCATAAATTCATAGCGGAAACACGATAGTATCAAAGACAGCCCAAAACATACATCCAAGTCGCTGAACCATGCGTAGATCAAGAGGAATTGAGCAGCAAGTTGTCTGTCTCCAAGAGCTAAATTGACAGAAACATAGGCCTTTATAGTACCCTCTCCATTCCTAAATCCCGTATCCACTGTCAGATGAACTGGGTTAAGAACTTCCCTAGAATAAAAATCGTTGATCAATACACTCCCGCCTGTAACTCCAAGACCAGTAGAATACCTGGAAAAGTTGCACAGATTCATGGCAAAGTTGGAATTATATGAGATATATACAAACTCACATTTAGTGGGAAATTGGCGGTGGGGAAAACATATTGAAGAGGCACTTTTAACACAAATGGTCTCATATTTGCATGACACCTAAAAGGACTCAAGCATAAACAATTATTTCATTTTTCTTTCCTGAGCAAAACAATAAAAATAGGTAGGGAGTTGAGAATTACCATCCAACAATGACATCTTTTGGATTCACTTTCTGGTGGAAGACTAACATATTATGATGGTATTCAATGTCTAAAGCAACCTGCAATTTAAAAAAAAAACCTAAAAAAATATTTCATAAAAATAGTGAATATGAACCAAACATGCAAAGCAGTGACTGTAAAAAATTTCACCACATCAGTCACGATATTAAGACCAATTACTAATTCACTATGACAAATTGACAATTTGCGTTCTCGCTTAGACTCTGGAATAATATTAAATTAACTTACCCTATTCCCATATGTAATGGGATAAGAGAGAGGCATGTTAGACAACTTCCGTGGAAGACTTCAGGCAATTATGAATTGCCCACAGTAAGACTCGATCCCACGATCACAAGGATAATAACTTTGTGCTCTACCAACTGAGCTGGACAGGTAAATCTATTTTTTAAAAATTAGCTAACCCTTATTCCCATATGTAATGGGTAAAAAGAGGTAATATAATAGACTGCCCCACGCCATATTGAGAGCAACTTTCGTGGAGACCTCCGAATTATAAATTAACTTCCGTGGACTCGATCCCACGACCTCAAGGTTAAGAGCCTTATGCTCTACCAACTGAGCAATTCAAGAATGAATAAAACGAAATAATTGTTTCAATGCAATCTAAGCAATATTATATTATGAAAATATTTGAATGCTACATTTTCGTGCAAAGCCTATCATCAATCATTCATAAAGCCAACATTATAAAGTATTAAGAAAGAAATTCAATTTACAAAGAAAAAAATTAAAGAAAAGTCTCAATTCATTTAGAAAACCCAAATATGGGTATCATAAATCTGTTTTTATTCATTTATTTCAGCAAATTGCTCTACAAATTTTAGCTAATAAAAAGAAAAAGAGTCCAAATTTAACTATAGGCTAGAGAGATCTAAATACAAACAAACAAATCTGAAAATTTTTAAAATTACAGAACTTTGAAGATAAAAACTAGGGCACCTGTTCAGCGGATTCGGTGTGAGGAACGGCATAGGAGTTACGTATATCGACGGTGTCATCAGAAAGGACGGAGTCAAGGAGCGTACCAATTCCGCGCTCGGCTTGGTCCCTGACGCCTGACGTAGCAATCACAGATGTTAAAGATGACGAGCGGGTGAACTTTCGCCGTCGACTGCGTGCTGAATTGCAAAACGGTACGATCGCCGGTCGCCATTATGCCTCGCCGATCTTACTGTTTTGGGTTACAGAGAAAAGGAGCAGAAAGACAGGAGAGAGAGAGAGAGAGAGAGAGAGTTTAGGGTTTTGCATAAACGATTCTTCTTTTCAGCGGTTTTTATAATCAATTTCTAGATCAATGTTTGCCCGATTTATCCGTATTGGACGCGATTTCGGCCTGTTGTTACTGGGCTGCCCTATTATCCATTTATTCTCTCTTCTACTCAAGGGTGCAGGTTTTTGGGCAATATACAACGTTAGTCACTAAATTTTACGAGTTTTCTCGTTATGATCACTGAACTATAATCAATTTCAATCATGTCATTAACTTTCGAATTAATTTTGATCCATATGTGTGTTAAAGTATAGCGTTTTGACACTTTAATAGGATCAATTTTGAATTTCTTTTTCATCCAAATGCAAAAAATTTAAAATGACCAACATTTTTATTTAGGTGAACTAGTGCATTTTTAACGTGCGTTTTATGTTAAAATTCACTTGCTAGGGAATGCTTATTTGCAAGAAGTGTTTTTGTAAGGCTAAAAACATTTACAAAAAAAAATCAACTTACTTGACATCGTAACTCAAAATTCGTTGCCTCCTCTTCCTATAAAGTCTAAAATTATTAGATGCATCCCTAAACTACATAGGGAAAGATTTATGACTTAAATTAGTGGACTATGGACTTATTTGTTTTGCTTAATAAAGTTTTGTACTCATTATTGGTCCATAATTCAAACTAAATCGTTGATGAAGAGAAATTAGGTGCTTTAGTAATAATTAATTTTCGAAACAAATCAAAGTGATGACATTAACATTAGTTAGTAAAATCCGACCAAAACTTGTCCACATCTTTTGTATTTAGGCAAAGCTATGGCATAGGGAGTGGGTAAGTTATGTTTTTTAGACCGTATAAAGAAAAGACAATTGATCTATAGGCCAAGTGGAAAGTGTTGAGACTTGGACAAACCGGTGTGGTTAGGTAGCCATCTAAAACCAAACTTTGGCACATGCTATCCTATAGTGACACTAAAATAGTGTGTGCTTTCTTATCTTAATTGTTATTTAACAAACACATTATAATATTTAAATTTAAATTAAAAAACAATTAAAATTAAACGTACTTAAGTTCACGTTCTTTTTAATATTATAACGATTAAGACTATATTATATCTAGAATAGAAGCCATGGATAAGGAGCGGAGTGTTGGTCTGTGTTATTATGAAAAATGACAAATTACAGCACATACAATGCCCCCAGTCCTTTATAAACAAACAAGGTAAAAGGAAAGAAGGCTCCCATTGAATTGAAAAGCATATTACATTTTTCTTTGCATTCAAACAAACGGGAAATTGGGAGGGATTTGATTTGTTTGGAGATCTCTTAGCACCACAATCCTGATCGTTGATCTCATCACTTTGATTTGAAAGGAATGGCTCTGATTACAACTTGATGGTAAAGAGCTGCCAGTGCTGCCCCAATGAATGGACCCAACCAGAAAATCCACTGCTCCAAAAATCAAGCCAATCACCAGCATCAGCAAAAATTTATGGGTTAATTCTAAAATTTTAAAATATTTTAATTAAATCCTCAAATATTAATATTACGTCATTAATATTAAACGTCAACTCGATTCTAACATGCATGTGATATTTTATGTAATTTGTTGATGTATAATTAGTGAGATGATTGTTTACAGCAATTAATACGAAAAAACATATCGACGATTGGTGGTCTTGAAGTGAAAAATCATAAAGAATGAAGTGAAATTTTTAGAGGCTTACATGGTCATCCCAGCCCTTGTCCTTGTTGAAGATGATGGCTGCACCAAGACTCCGAGCTGGGTTAATACCGGTTCCAGTGATCGGTATAGTGGCCAAGTGCACCAAGAACACTGCGAACCCAATTGGTAATGGTGCCAAAATCTACCACCACGATTTCAAAATTTCATCGAACATTGAAAGGGCTCGAAATAAATAAATAAATAAATAAAAGCCATCAAAGAAAAGGAACTTACAGGGACGTGGGAGTCTCGAGCACTGCGTTTAGCATCAGTGGCTGAAAAGACAGTGTAAACAAGAACGAACGTACCAACAATCTCAGCACCAAGACCATCTCCTTTAGTGTAGCCATCCTTCACGGCGTTGGCTCCGCCACCCAAAGTACCGTATCGGTTCTTCCCCATGAACCCTTTAACCACACCGGCACCACATATGGCTCCCAAGCACTGCATCACCATGTAGAAAACCGCCCTAGTCAACGACAGTTTCCTCGCCAGAAACAACCCAAATGTCACCGCCGGATTTATGTGGCCACCTATATCCGCCACAATATTTTCATCATTAACGATCCAACGATATGGAAATTATTTCAAGTAAACAATATAGAGACGGAGTATTACCAGAGATTCCAGCAGTGCAATAAACGAGAGCAAAGATCATGCCACCGAAGGCCCAAGCAATCCCTTGAATCCCAACAGTTTTACACTTGGTTGGTTCTTTAAGAACGCCCATGACAGTTAACACCGAGATATACAAGAAAAGAAAAGTAGCAACGAACTCAGCGATCCCAGCCCTGTAAAAAGACCAAGAGGTCAATTCACTGGGCTCAAACAATGATGCCGGCGGTGGCTCGGTGTAATCCTTGTCGTCTTGGGACTGAGCCGCCGTCCCAATGGGCTGCCTCTCGGAAAACTTGTTGGCTCCCAATCTCACATCCTCTTCTTTGCCCTCCATTTTTAAACAAAAATAATAAAACTGAAAACTCTGATTTTTTGAGGAGAAATGGTGTGTTTGAGTTGGTGTAGGGTGGTTCTTTTATATAGGCAAAATTTGATGAGAAAATGGTGGGGCTGAGCAAAGTATAATTAATTGAATTTTTAGTTGTTAATGAATTATGACCGACCAATCATTTTTCTTTGGGTTTAATTTAACATCTAATCTATTTGGATTTTAATTTAGTGAGAAAATGAAGTGAATAGCCGTGGGATGTTCTTGTTATAAACGACAAAGGGGGTGGCTGATAGGCCCAGTTTTGGCCACAAATAAGTGAGCTGACGATGAAATTTAGGCACCGTCCATTGCCAAGTTTGTCAAAGCGAGGACTTGAAGGGAGTGAATTCTATATAATTTTATCCAAATTCAATACAACTCCTCACGTAATTTTCTTACTCAAAAGTGAGGTGGGGGATATGGGCTAAGGCCCGCATGCTACCCATTTAACTCGAAGTCTGTGCGGGTTTGAACATAAAAATCTTAAATTGTGGATTTTTTAGCCCGGATCATTAAATTCGTTGGTTTAATGGGTATAACCACGGGTAGTCCGCGAAGCCCGCAATAACCTGCTTAATTTAAAATTTTTAAAATTTTAGAGAAAATAAACTTAAAGAATTTTATAGAAAAAGAAAATAAATTACCTATAAATATGATGTTACTTATAACCATTGTAATTCTTAAAATTATTAGGGCATTTGTCATAATTCTATCGTTGCTTTATATATTTTTTTTCATTTATAATGTATATAATTATTCTTCATTTTAAAAAATAAAAGTTAAAAGATTTATATAGTATTTTAGTCTTATAAAATTTACATCATTATCACTTTGGTATTTAAAGATTTTTTTATATTTAATTTTGACCTTTATTTTTTTCATGAAGTATGTTATCAATTTTGTTCTTTAATTATAAAAAGTCACGTGATATTCTAATAATATATCACATGACACGTAGTATTTGGATTAAAAATAAGAAACAAAAGAAAAAGAAAAAATTGAAAACATACTTTTCAACTTTTAAAGGCTTTTACAAAAGAAAAATTGTTAGATTTGTATAATGTATGACTTTGTTGAATTTTTCTGTTTAATTTCTGCTTGCAGACACTTCTGTGTCTTCATATTATAGCATTGAATAATCGTGTTTTATAAAAGTATAATGTGGTTATTGTTTTTTTTTCAATTTGGTGATATAAGTGAATATTGTTTTTTTAATTTGAGTTTAAGTAATTATATCGTTATATATTATATATATATATATATATATATATATATATATATATATTATATATTAATGATTAAAAATTAAAAAAAATATTATTATATAATCATTTCCGGTTATTTTAAATAAAATTTAAATAAAATTTATTATTTTGACGGTGCTACCTTCCTTTTCAAGTTACTGGAACATTTTTAAAGGTGTAGCAAGTTAGAACATTATTTTTTATTGCATTTAAAATTATTTTTATTTAACGGGCCTCGGGTAAGCCCGTTTAACCCGCGGGTTAAACGGATGGGCCACAGGCCTTAAAATTTAAAATCGTTTATGATTGCGGGCTTTTTAAACCGCTCCATTTAAGCCCGCACCGTCAAAACCCGCTAACTAAACGTGCGGGTAACCCGTATACCCACCTCTACTCAAAAGTCTTTTGGTGGAAGTTTCACGTTAGCCTAGATGATCAACATAAATAAATTTCTCATCAATTTCATTCATAAGTTTTCATCACCCATTTTCAAATTTGATTACAATTGTATTATATATCAATTGACAATATTATTATACTTTAATATATATATATATATATATATATATATAATTATTATAATATTCTAAATCAAACAAATAAACATTTTACTTTATTCAATTTGAAATTAAACTACTGCAACTTACGTAAAACTTAAAGAAAAAATAATACAAGAACTATATACGCACGAGAATAGATACGGCATTTGGTTGGTATCGACATCTTTATTATATTATAATATGATTATTGATTAATTTTGTTTATAAAAAATGGGTTTGGTTTCATTGTCTGAGCCAATGATTACATTCCAAAATTGTGAAGAAAAAAAACTGTCATCCAAAATAATGATAAAATCATGAGATTTGATTATATTAGTTACAGAGTGGCATGCCATGTAACAAGTATAATATTATAAATCAAATTCGAATCTTTCAGCTATTATCATTTTGTGCTGGCATGCAAAGAGCGTTAGGTTAGGCTTACAGACATCAGATCATATTATAATTATGAAACTTGTTAATTTTGGTCTGTAATAATTTTCTAGTTTCATTTATTTGATGTAATAATTTTTATCCATTTATCATGATTTTCAGGTTGAACGCTTACTACAGACATCAAAGTCAATTTTATTGCTATGTTATTAGAACATGAATTCTTATATATCACAATACAGCAAAACTGAAATGTAATTTTAAAATTTATTTTAAACGAAATCAAGCTCATTTTTTTTTATAAAATATGTATATACATATATATGAGTTGGAGACAATTTTAAACCGACATTGTATGATATATCATATTACTATTTTTTTTGTAGGTAAAAGGTATTTCATTACTTAGCAAGAACGGCACCAGTCACTAGAACATTTGCAATACAACTGGGAATAGAATAATTATAAAAAAAACAGACCTAACACAAGTTAAAGCATATTGCGCAAGTTCATGAGCTGCTAAGTTCGCAGAAAGCCGAATGCAACGAAGATGGATGTGACGATGATTCTGTAGTAATTCCTTCGCCTCCGCCAAATGAAACCCAAGGGTGGAGGAGTGATCTGATGTAGCATGGAGAACATGATGAACCACATCGGCCGCATCGCTTTCAATGGTGACAGATGAGCAGTCCAGTTCACACGGGCTGAGCCAGTCTATTACGTGGATGTCAAATGACGCCTCAATTTTTTTGAAAAAAATACTTTTTTATATAAATTTAATATAAAAATATTTAAAAATAAAATGAATATATTTTTAAAAGAGTATAGGTACCTTCAAACATAAATTGACACCTATTATTCATTCTCATCCACTTAAAAGAAATTTTATATAATTTTTAATTTTGATACCTCAAAATATATTTTCTCTAAGTGACATCCTAAAATAAATTTTGTAACTCCGCCTCTCGGTTCAGTAGCCAACTAAATACCCTTGGTCAAACAGCAGATTCCACTATCGCAGCCTCACACGGTCCTTCAATTGGAATTGCTCGAGCGGCAACAACTAATCCATTAAAGTCCCTGGCAACAATACCCACAGCAGGTGAACCATTTTGGATCGAGCATACCCCATCCACGTTGACTGCGATAGCTTAAAACAGTGTTTTCTCCCAACAATCAGTAGAAAAAGAGGTGGCTGAATCCATCCAAAATTGAAGTACGAACAACAGTCTAGGCCGACAAGAGCAACTGACTGGATATAAGAACTTCCGGTAAGGCCGATAAAAGTTTAATAGACAAACTTCAATAAATATTAGAGCGAGTTGTATATTCATCTTGCATTGCATGCTCTTTACGATTTAAACTATTTAAATCTATCAATCAATTATTAAATTTCACTTTCATTGTTATTTAATTTATAGATAAGCAATACCATAATATAAAATATTTTAATTATTCAAATAATAATTTTGAAAATTAAAATATTTTATATTTATTAATTTATTTATATTAAAACGGACGGTTCAATATATATATATATATATATATATATAAACTCGATTGAACGAACCCTTTCTATGTTCTTATCTAGAGATGGGCATGTGACCCGAAATCGATGGGTTTTAACTCGACCCGATTTGATCGGGTCGATTTTTTTAAATAAATTTGGGTTCAGGTCAAGCTTTTTAGAAATTGTGTTCAGGTTTAGGTGAAAAAAACATGACCCAAAAAATATATAATTTTTCCTTTATATTTAGGGATAATTACAATAATATCCCACTATATATTATTTTTCCAATTAAATCTTTATTTGTATTGAATAAAAATAATATTTTTTAATAAATATATTATTTTGGGTCGAGTCGGGCTGAATTCGATCAGATTGAGGGTATATATTTTTCCGATTGGAACGAGTTCATATGGATGTTGTATAATTTCTGGTCCTATAGAGTTGATATAAAATCTGATCCAACCAACTAATGCCCATCTCTAATCCTATCTCACCTTGACGATATCATTAAACGTGGAACAATGTCCAACTGCTACTGCCCAACAATCTTTGAAAGTGTTTTAAGTTGGACAACTTATATTTATATTAGAAGATAAATTTTATAATTTTAAGAGAAAGTAAATTTAAAAACTTTTCAGGGATAAAATTAAAATATTAGTCAAAATAAAAAAAATATCTAAGATATATAAAAATCTTACAATTTTTAAGAGAGACTACTATCAATCAAAATCAAAGAAGAAGATTATATATCCCATTCCCCAAATCCAGAAGCAAAAGTAAAAGCATGAATATTTTTGAACAATGTTGTGGTGGCAGTGGCAGGTAGTAATCAAACCAAAGTTGAGTACCATAATGTCGACTGTTATCCGTTTGCAGCAGTCGATGGAACTCATCGTGTTTCCATTCCCTGCTTCTGACAATTTTCACGTGTAATTGCTATGTTTTGGCCCATTGCAGCCAAACCATTGCAATAAATTGTTATCAATGGCCATTGGAAATTTAGGTACTTTGTTAGATATTTGGTGGACCGTGGCAAGTGTGTCAGTAGAAAGTTGGGGACTTATGAAAAGAAGTAGAATTCCATATTTACTTCCTCACAGAAATTAAAATTTACTTTTTACACAAGCTTTTTTTGTTTTGACTCAAAAGTTTTTTTTTTTTTTTTTTGTAGTTTTATTTCCACTGCGAATATGAAATTCCTAGATTCACACCTGCACGTGTGGACATAAAAATAAATCTAAGGTAAACTATACGTTTAGTACCACAACTATTATTTTTGTTCTATTTTGACCGGTTCCTTTTTAAAAAAAAATCATAATTAATATTACGTTTTGGTGAATGAAT